AGGTCGATTTTAGACTAAGCCTAAAACAAGTATGTACAAGCACCGATACATATAATGGAGGGGGCAAAAGCACAAGGAAACAAAGGGGATCCGAATCGGAATGAAGGCGTCCGAACGGGAACAAAGGGATGACAGAAGCGGAGTGGTACCAAAGGTCATAAGGCAGAACCTGTGGTACGTCCGAAAGGAGGTAAGGAGGGCGAGGCCCAGAGGGGCAGGAGGATGAGGAGAAGTGGGGGTGATGACTAACTGGCTAGAATGGGAAGAAGCAGCAGTCCAAATAGGGATGAGGGGAAAATGCGAGAGATACATTACAAGCAGCGAAAGTGCCGAAGGTGATCCATGGAGCTCAGAGGTTATGGAGCTTATGGAGGTTATGGAGGCAGGGTTGAAAGTCCAAGGAATATTGGCAATGGTGTTTACATAGTATGAGGTCACCAATGCAATGGACTAAGGCCAAGGTGGAGTCAAAGTCCAAGGTAGGAACTATGACGGAGGCTCGGAGCAAAGGTACGAGCGGTGTCCAAGTACGAAGTATGGGACAGCGGCGAAAGGTTGTAACTTGGTGGGGGGTTGATGGAAGAGGGCCAGAGGGAAGAGAGAGGAGAGAAGAGGTGTCAGGTCCGAAGGTGAGTATCAGAGCGGATGGGAGAAGAGTAGGAGGATGATGGGAGGGTGGAGGTGTTGTGGGAAGGAAGTGGAGGAGTGGGAGGAGGAGTAGTAGGAGGGTGGCGAGAGGGGTGGTGTTCGGTCCGAAGTGGGTATCGGAGCGGACGGAGATAGGACAGGAGAGTGACAGAGGAGTGGAGGTGGCATGGGAGGTGAAAGGAGGTGTGGTGCCAGGACCGAAGGTGAATATGGGAATGGACAGCGGTAGGGTAGGACTCCGGAGGTGGTGAAGGAGGAGGTCCGGGAGTCAGGTCGGGATCGGGTATGCACGGATATGACAAGGGCAATCTGCTTGAGTGTGTCATATGATTCTGGGAGTGCCTCCAACACTATCATGGCAAACTTGGCATCAGTGTAATCATCACCTAGACTTGCCAATCAATCATGAAGTTCACACATCTGGATCAGTTGAGGTTCCAATGGTTTGGAATCGTCCAGTTGATAATGGCGAAGTTGTGTCATTACTCTCACAGCATCTAGGGCACCAACACTGTTATACCATTTGAATAGCTGAACCCAAGCCTCCTTTGCAAAATGTTTACCGTCAATGAGGGCGAGTGGTGTGTCATCAATGGTAAGTGTAATCTGAGTCAAAGCCACATCATTCTTCCTGTCCCATTCAACAATTGCAGGATCAGGAGCCACAGCCTTTTGGTCAGAGGAGGAGGTATTGGAAGAAGAGGAAGATGAGGAGGAAGTAGAGGCAGGAGGGTGAGGGGGGTCTGAGGTCTTCGGAAGACATTGGGCTCATGACCTAAAGTAAATAAGCTAATGCATGGACTCAGTCTCAAATGAGAGATCTAAGTTATTATTCCTTTACCTAATGTGCAGACTGTAAATACAATCAGAACTTGCATACAAGGAGGAATAAAAAAGGGTATCACCTCAGTCTCAAATGAGAGATCTGAGGGAGTGTGAAAAATTCCGCACATAGTGTGTTTTATACACCTAGTGCCAATATCACTTATAGCGACTGCCTGCTATAACTGGCAATGAAGTAACTATCAAGACAAAAGGTATGTATATACAATATCCTTAATTGATATTGCATCAGTAAAGAAAATATTGGTATGCATGGACATTGATATTCCAATATGGGTCTAACTAACATCACAACCATCGCCTGGCTTCTATCTACCAGCCCTCAAAACTAAGAAAGCCACCAAACAACAGTTTGACACACACCAGTACCTTCATCCAGATGATAGGGAAATTCTGAAAGTTGGGGCTTTTGTCAGTATGACTATTGGGGGGTAGAAGGAGATACTCATCCAAATAGTTCAAAAGCACCATAGCATGGCCAGCCTGGCTCCCCCAATGATGCATGATGGTGCTTAGCTCAATTACATTCTGATCATTAAAATATTCACCTAATTACTCATATTATCCTGTAGATAGCTTTCAATATATATTTCTCACCCATTTATAGTATGGTTTGAAACCTAAAGATGATGTGATTTGAGAGGAAAGATGGTGCAGCCAGGATCAAGATGATATTTGCTTATGTAAGTGTCACAAGACTACAACCTGGTTTGCTGACCCCTGTATAATGGGAATTATAGTGATGTGACATAAACAAATGAAGATATGTAGTGAAGGCTAATCCCTTACTAGAGTGCTTGCATTGCTTCACAAAAACCCACCCAGCATGTACACATTATTACAGAATCAAGAAAGGAATTTGTATTACAAATGTAATTAAGGCTTCGAGACAGGCGAAACTGAAGCTGATTTGGATCATTTTATAGCCCAACGACAATGGACAGAGGAAATATTGCATTGGCAGCATGCAATTGAAATAACGAACAAACAAGTGGAGGATCTCAGGAGAAGGGGTGCAGGCAGCAACAGGCAAGGATATGCACAGGTTCATGATGTGGTGGCAGGGGATTATGGGCAGGAGAAATGAAATGGTAGCCCCAAATGACTCGGGGATCAAGCTTGATGGAGCAGGTATGCAGAGATGTACCACCAAGTATTTAGGAAGTGCAGAAGGAACTGTGGAACCCATAGATGTGTCCAGTTTCCACGAGGGACAGCTGTCATATCCATCCACAGCCATCGTCTTCCACTACCTCCAACCCTTCTGGACTACCTCCGCTCCTTCTTCACTAACCTCGGAGCTCCCATATTCTGCAATCACCTCCACCTCCCTCAATGGTCACCACCCCCTCTTTTCAATATATTACCTACGCCTCCCTAAGTATGGAGCCCCAAAGGCCTCCAGACAGCTCCAACGTCCGCTGGCACACTCCCACCCCCACTGGGCAATTCACTTGCTTGCCCTGCAAGTCTACCTTCGGGTCTATCCCTCCTTTCCATTTCTGGGTTATCGCCTGCCATTCTGCTAACCCCGTAACCCAACTTGTCAGTAACATTCAATCGGCTAATGTTTAACTCCATTAGCTCCACACTGCTCGGTCCCACCATTCATGGGCCCACCCTTGCTGTAACTATATATACTTAACTTGTACATAGGTTACACTTCAGTGATAAAATCAACTAGAGTTGATCCCCTTTTAGTTCTCGTTGCCAGTAAGTAAATTAGGGCACGGATGTGTAACTTGGCACAGCACTCCTGGTCAGAGTCGCCATGGAGACAACTCCTTCGTCTCAATCCAGTCTCTAACAACAGCTGCGAGCATATAGTATCATTTGGCTGAAAAGAAGAGCCACAAATGATTTTGACAGGAGAAGGTGGCACTGGGAAATCACAAGTGATACATCCAGTGATGGAGTATTCCAAACACATAATGCTGCAGATATGTAAGATTGCAGTGGGGGCTTACACAGGGATAGCAGCGAGTTTTATTGGTGGTAAGATGCTGCATGTCCTTTTTGAATTAAGTGTGCAGGGAGTAAGGATGCCAAGTGGGTGGAAGATTGAGGAGCTTCCACGAGTGTGGTAGCCAATGGAATATCTGATTATTGATGAGTTTTTGATGGTGTCACAAACACTATTTGCACGAATGTCCATGATTCCGGGGCTAATCTGTCAGCATAATAAGCAACAATGACATCTCAGCAAGGGTTGGGTGTCATCATCTGTGGGGATTTCCATCAATTCAAAGCAGTAGGACAAGGTGGAGGCACACCACTTTACTGCAGTAGTTTGCTTAACACAAGGTCGAAACGTCAAGGAGGATTGGCACTTGTCGTGGAACTGGCAGTTGATTGCAAAGTGATAATCACAACAAACATCAGCACCAACATGGATATCGTGAACAAAGCAAGGGGTGAATCTTGGCAGATCGATGTGAAGTCATGCCTGAAAGGTGTCAGGGCACGCCTTTGGGTCACTAGCATAAGTAGCACATTGCCACATGACCTGTATCTCCATCAGCTTCTTCTTTTCTTCTTCTTCATCTCCGATCTGATCCAATCTGCGGCTGTCAGTTATGATGCCACATGATCTTCTATCTTTCTTGATCCAATACTACCGGTTTTAGCTAGTTGACTAGTTACCGCCTCTACCATGTATATATGACCATGTGCTGGTGTGGGCATGTCCCCCAGCTTTGATATCAATTAGGTTTCTGGGGCATCCTTTGTTGTGAGCATGCATGACCCTGACAAAAGGTGGGAAGAAATGAAGGTCTGAGCTGCATGTTGGTCAGTATGAATCGATTCTGCGGACCAAACATTGAAGACCTCGGCGCTAACACAATCCCATTGTTCCCGGTAACAAGCACATTTGAACTGTTCACACGGAAGCTAGGGTGAAGTTCAACCTTGACAAGTGACATTGTCGGACTTAGCACACAGACTACTGTCCACAAGGGCAAACATTCAACACTTATGAGATGGTAATGTGAAAGCAACGTGATGAGGAGAGAAGAAGTAACCGATATAACCGATAACTGTGCGAGAAAATATTCACACGTTTTCAGCATCAGAAGTTACGTAATTGTGGGCTGGGGAAGTGACTCTGCTGTGCAGGTAACAACCTCTTAGGCTTTTCACATCACAAAAATTCATAGGACCCACTACAGCACAGCAGGAATTAAACTCGAGTTGGTTTTGAAATCAAGAATTTTTGAACTATTTTTGCTTTCAGCAACATGGCCTTTGCGGGACATTTAGTCCAAAATACATTGTAGCAAATCACAGGTAAAACAGGACATAGAAAAGATGTAACAACAAGGATGATAAAGAGTGGTGGTGATGATGAAGAGGTGTTACAAAGAAGTGGCTTCAAGACATTGGGGTTAGTGGTAAGTAAAGAGCCCATGTCTTCGGACCAGGTGAGCACATTGACATTGGGCAGGACCTAGCAATAGGAGTTTAGAGGACAGAATCAACTACAGACTGAGCCACACCACCTGCAAATTTTAAAACAACAAGTCCAACATTGCATTATCATGCTCTGGTTGAATGTACCCCCCTCCAGAAACCCCATTGGGCCATTCAACACAAGGCGAGATCGATAGTGGGTATCGGGCTTCGCCGTGCTTTCCGGCCCAGTCAAAATCGATGAGCTGTACCTTCCCCTCCGTCGTAATCATTATGTTCGGTGACCGAAGATCTCCGTAGACAAAGTGTTTCGCGTGAAGCGACTTGATGATATTCCGGAGCGCGCCAAGTCTTTCTATCGGCGAGTTCCGGGCCGCACACCCTTCCTCTGACTTCAACACATCAGCGAGCGTGTTGCCGGCTACATAGTCCATAACGACCATTTTGAGCTTGCCATACCCTGGCATTGCTGGAATGACCTTGACTGGTCCACAATACAACAATTTCGGTGCGAACCCCTCGTCCTCCATCGCACGATGCACATCAGCACCATAATCAGTGACAAATTTGACCACAACTTTGGTTTTGTTGGCGGTAGCGAGGTATGTTTTGCAAGATGGGTCGGGATCAAAAGGTTTTTCATATGTAAACTTGACAAGTTTGCCATCGTGCTCGAAGTGGTCTGGAGAAGGGAAGAACCTAGGATGTGGCACTCCAATATCTATTGGGGAAAGCCGAGCAATGGTTTTGTACCAATCATCCAGTTGTGAAAGTGACTCTCTAAGAGCGTAGAGAATACGCGCAATCCGAGTGCACTGGTCTTCATCGTGGGAAGAATGAAAAGGGAGCCAAAGGAAGTCCGTCAGCCGCTGGACAATGCATTGGGATGTAATGACACCGCCCAGAATGGCAAACCAGGGTCCAGCTTGGGCGACAAGGAAAGTTGGACAGCAGCACCTCTGCGCGATATCCTGGGCCTGTGAAATACCAAGCATAAGGGGTTAGGCTGCAAGACAAACAAAAGAAACTAACCTCTTCCTGTTGGTATCGACGTAAAAATGAAAATGCAGCTTGAGTTGAAGGGTCAGAGCCTCCATCCCCGATTTCTTTCTTCCCTTCATTGACAAGGATATAGCTTGCGGGACCTGGGTGGGAACCCATTACACTACCGTCAGGTGCTGTGAAATCATCGTTGCGCACAGCAAGCAAGGAACGACCAATGATTTTCCCAAGGATTGGCTTAATTTTCAGCCGACGCTCCTCCTCGCTGCGGTATATGGCGGCGGATTTCACCAGCAGATTGTAGGTCTGCGATTCCAACTCGGGAGGGACCTCAAACCCAGGGTCAAAAGCTTTGCTGGAAAAAAATGCAAAAGCAGGGTGATAGAGTTGGATAGCGATAGCAACCGTGGGCTTCGGCGTCTCAGCAGCATATCGGCAGTCCCAAAGTGGGGAACTCTTCCCCTGGTAATCCATATAATTGTTTGACTTGGCGCGCACACAGGGTGACAACTCCCGGGGACCTAAACGAAGTAGATTCCTGTAATCTTCCCCTCATAGAATCAGTAGCTTGTCGGGGTTGATTCAGGAGTAATCACCCACCTCGTGTGAGATGCTCAATGATATCGTCATCCCCTCTACCTGTCGCTGCCCCATTTGGATCGATCAGTTCGTATTGTGCTAGGAGGGATATTTGCTGCATCGGGAGCAGGAAGGGATCCACAGGTTCGCCAGGTGATAGACTGTCCGCTATTTCGCTGAGATCTCCATGCGGTGGTACCTTTTCTGTTAGCGTCAAAGGTCTCTTAAGCTGCAAGTCGTCCATCAGTGGCAGCAAAAAAGAAGGACTAATGATTGACCTTCCAGAAGCGGATGATTACAGTGAAGTTGTTTGATATCCTCAGATTCTGGAGCACTGAGTCCTTGATATCAAAAAGCAACTGACCCCGTTGAGCCCGAATACGGCGAGCATCATCCGTGGGGATATTTGCCACTTTGATCCAGATAGATTCCATTGCGCACGTGTGCTTGAAGCTTCGCCCAAACACAGTTCAGAAGATGTAAGTTGTGACGCGGCTCCAGTGAAGTGAAGAAAACCAATAGTAGGCAGGGCTTGAACGGGATGCGGGTTTTACAACAATTTGCATCCGGAGAGTACCCCGGCATACACCGAGGGAGCTCCGATCTGGGAGAGGGCCGAAAATCAGTCTGCACGACCGCAACGTCGTTAAACTAGCAAGCGTGAGACGACACCTAAGTACAATAAACTCAACACCGTAACACAACTCAATAAAACCAAGGGGAACCACTAAGAATCCGGATAAAACACAGGCAAAGACCCCTGGACCTCGACGGGGCAACCTTCACTAAGCCCAAATACACCGTCAGGTCCCCATCCGGAAGGGGCTAGGAGTTGGGTACGCCAGACGGGAAACTGAGTTCCCGAGTACCCGGGTAATCCCGCAAGGATTAGGCTGGCGGTGCCACGAAGTATACTACAGAAATACCTCTCGTCCCAAACAAAACCATACCCGCGGTAGAACGCCTCAACGGTGTGTCTCCCCGCAACCTCCTACTAATTAAGCCACATACATAAAAACTTACAGTGGTTCCCCCAGGCCGCAAATATGCAAAACAACCGTAGTAACCTTAGTGACCCCTATCGCTCACCATCACCCTTAAGCTCCAATGGAGGGGACGACACAATGATTGAGGGCTGGGCCGGAGCGCACCAACACAGTACCCCCATTACCACTGACAAGGACCCGCCCACACTCACGCCCCCTCACACACTACTCCCATCCATTACCTCCATCCTCGAAGCAGCCAAACGCCACAGATCCCCGGACTCGGCCAACATCCAAGGCCCTGACCTTGCACCCCCCAGAGAGTGAAGGAAACATGAACAACCCTCCTAACCACACTGTGCCGAATCTCCTGACTTCCGCGACAGCGAGTTCCCCTCCAACTCCCCCACGCAATACCCGCCCCCCAGCCATAGCTGACGCACCTGACCCCGTAACCGCAGCGGCCCAGCGCCCACATGACGGCAACGAAACCTTCAACTACATCGACCTTGTAGGTGAACTAGCCAACTTCCGCGCCCACGGAGCGCGGCCAGCGAGAGTCCTTGCAAACATCAGCGAAGATCGCCTCGAACAATGGAGGGCCATCCCAAGAACTGCTCTAGCATACCCACTCGACGCTAAACACAGCCCCGAGGGTGACAAAAAATTCAGAAACAACTTGGCTACTTTCCTCAAAAGGGCCATCCCCCAATCAGGCCCGAACATAACAGTCCGCCCCCCAATCGCCCAATCCAAAGACGTAACAGGAACCCCCTGGGGCTTCCTCATCGAGGGCCTCCACCCATCACATATCAACACTCTTATTGCGGGCCACTTATGGATGAGTCGCGCAATCTGCTTCATAGCTATCGACTTTGCCAACTACAGGCCCACCAGCTATGTTGTCTCCTTGCGCGGCCTCGGAGCTAATCTAAACGAAACTGGAGATGTCGAAAACGCGATCACCCAGAAGATCCTTCCTGGAAAGGGCACACTTACACATCGATGACATAAACCACATAGCAACCAGTTGCACTGTCATACCCTGCGGTTATGCTGCATCCAACCACGGGAACCGGCTCAACCAGTCCGAACACAGGAACCCAACCTCCGACTCCAACGTAACAATGTGGGAAGTCCATCTCCCCTCCCCATTCTTTGAAGTCCCGGACCCCACCCCCAGGGACATGAACACCAGCTTCGACCAGTGGGTCCAACTATTCAGAGAAACCTCATTTGCCACTCCAACGAGTAACAACGGGTCAGCTAGTGGCTCCCATATATACTGCCACACATGCAAAGGATTGGATCACACCTTCGCAGTATGCCCGATCCACGAGCACCATATATGGCGTGAACTCAACCCAAGCACCACTAGTCCGGCATCAAACCCTGATAACCCGCCCCACTCCCACCCAGCAAGACGCAGCCACGGTAGGTACCAAGGACAAAACCGGGGACGCAGAAGACACCATGCCTAATGGCCGGCTTAGATGGAAACCAGTAACCCCAATCCCGTCTAACCCCATATAAAAATATTCCGCACAATATACTCAACACATGAATGAAACTAACCAAAAATAACCTGAGATGAAGCAAAATTAAAATTAAATTAAATTAAAACAACAAAACAGCGTCAAACAAGAGCGCCCAAATTTACTGGACTGCAAGGTGACAGGAAAGCACACTTGCCCACACCTCCTCTGCTCCTCCCAATGGCCGGCAACCAGGAAGGAGCTTACAAACAAAAGCCAGCAAAAAAGCGAACTTAAACAGCAAACATTGGACCCCCAATCAGGTCCCAGCACGAACTCAATCGGTAAATGGCCTCCTCCCTCTGCCCCTGGAGGACCACCGGCTTTCACCATTTTCCGAACATCCAAGGATAGAGGCAGAGGATCTGAAAATGGCCCCCACCCACACCCCCCTCCGTCTAAGAGGTGGTGACCCCACCCATAATTGCCTCCCCAGACTAAAAATCGGCACCCTTAACATCAAAGGCGCAAATAGCCCCACCACCAAACACAAATGGACAACCCTCACGCAAAAAATGAAAAAAGAAGGATACGGCATCATGTGCCTCTCCGAAACCCACACTGACCAGCACCAACAAAACTACCTAAATGACATCTACAACTCCGAGTACATAATCGCTCACTCCATCAACCAAGAACACACCCGTGCTGGCGGAGTTGCAATCATAATCAACAAGAGCATAATCAAGACCCCCCCAGAACCACCAGAGTCATTGAACCCGGCCGCGCTCTCCTCATGGAAATAGAATGGCCACCCAACCACTCCATAAACATCTTAGCAGTATATGCCCCCAACTCCCACAATGACAACTCCCGATTCTGGGAGAACCTACGCCAAAAACTCCTAGACTCCCCCATCGACATAATGCTAGGGGACTTCAACATGGTAGAAGAGGCTATTGACAGACTTCCCCCCCACCCAGACCCGGACATAACTACAACAGCTCTCCGAGACCTTACCTCCCTCAACAGCCTAGCCGATGGATGGAGAGAATCACACCTGGCCCCAGAAAGGAACTATACCTTTGGCCACACTACAGGAACATCCCTCTCCAGAATAGACAGAATTTACGCAACTGACGACATCAGAGGAAAAGCCTATAAATGGGAAATCTCCAGCCCAGACATATCAACCGCAGATCACCAACTAATATCCGTTGAGCTAAGAGACAACCACGCCACCACGATTGGGAAAGGGCGATGGGCCATTCCCCTGTACCTAACCAATGACCAAACTTTCCTTACTGAGGTTGAGTCCATCGGCAAGGAAGCCCTCGACAACATAACCAGAAACAACAGCGAGACCCAGAACATATTCCAAAACTTTGTGTCTGCTGTGACCCACTTAGCTAGAAAAACCACCAAAATAAAAGCTGGCAAACTCAACTCGGAAATAAAACGACTTACTCACAGACGCGACAAAGCCATACGAAGACTACCCTTGGCTGATGAGACCCTCACGGAAATGACACAGGTTCAAATTCAGAACTTAACAAAAAGAATAAATGAAATAGAAAAACTCAAACAAGCCAAATCAAAAGCACGCGCCGGAGCAAACAAAAGACTCCTCAGCGAAACAACCTGTCATATCCATGCATACCCGACCCCTACCCGACTTCCGGACCTCCACCCTCTTCACCTCCGGAGTCGTACCCTACCGCTGCCATTCCGATACTTACCTTCGGTCCTGGCAACACACCTCCTTCTACCCCCCCATGCCACCTCTACTCCTCCTTTCCTCTCCGACCCTATCTCCATCCGCTCCGATACACACCTCGGACCAAACACTGCCCCTCTCGCCACCATCCTACTACTTCTCCACCCTCCTGCTCCGCTCCTCCTTCACCCAACCTCCACCCTCCCATCATCCTCCTACGCTTCCCCCGTCCGCTCCGATACTCACCTTCGGACCTGACAACCCTCCTTTCTGCCACTCCTTCCCCCTTACCTTTCCCCTCTCTCCTCCCTCTGGTACTCCTCCGCCACCCTTCCGCCAAGTTACGACCTTCCACCGCTGTCCTGTACTTCGTACTCGGACACCGCTTGTACCTTTGCTCCGAGCCTCCGTCATAGTCCCTACCTCGGACTTTGACTCCACCTCGGTCTTAGTCCATTGCATTGGTGACCTCATACTACATAAACACCATTTCCAATATCCCTCAGACTTTCAACCCCACCTCCATAACCTCCGTAAGCTCCGCAACCCCTGAGCTTCGTGGATCGCCTTCGGCACTTTCGCCGCTTGTAATGTATCTCTCGCGTTTACCCCTCATCCCTATTTGGACTACTGCTTCTTCCCATTCTAGCCAGTTAGTCATCATCCCCACTTCTCCTCATCCTCCTGCCCCTCTGGGCCTTGCCCTCCCTACCTCCTTTCGGACGTATCACAGGTCCTGCCTTATGACCTTCGGTACCGCTCTGCCCCTTCTACCCTTTGTTCCTGTTCGGACGTCTTCGTTCTGATTCGGTTCCCCTTTGTTTCCTTGTGCTTTTGCCCCCTCCATTATATATATCGGCACTTGTACATACTCGTTTTGGTTCAGTCCGAAATCGACCTGAAATGCCCCCTAGAGACTTCCTGCTCACCTACTGTGAAATTAAGGACCAAATGGACAAACAGCAATGGCACAGCGCTACGGCCCACACTCACTTATTCCTTAAACCCTTTCTCTCTCCTTCACCGACATGTACAAAAATTGCCCACTTTAAAGTGGTGACAACAAAACACTCATTGATAATTTCAAACTCAATGTAAATCAATTATTAAAACTTTGTTTTATTCACCATCAACCTTGTATGCATCGCAAATGCAACGCAAGGGGGGAGAATGTCAGGGCAATAGCCCCGAACCCCGAGCCACATGTAATTAAATACATATAGTCATGTGGGTAAGCGGGAACCTCTGGGTAACTGCTTACACACTACCGTAAAATACACACATTTGTATCACTTACAGCTCTGTGTGCTGAGCTACCCCCAGAGACCTCACAAAGTTGCAGGCTCGTCCTGTTGTCGAGGTGGAGGAGAGACTCGAGGACGAGTTGGAGGAGGTATTGGGGTTGGGTGATCCTGAAGGCGTACCTGATCTATCTGTTAGAGATGGGCCGATACAGATGACTCCGGAAGTGGAATCGGAGACTTAGCGTGGAAGGACCTTGGCCTCAGCGACTCAAGCAGAGCGCTGTGCCATTGCTGTTTGTCCATTTGGTCCTTAATTTCACAGTAGGCGAGCAGGAATTTCAGGTCGATTTCGGACTGAGCCCAAAACGAGTATGTACAAGCGCCGATATATATAATGGAGGGGGCAAAAGCACAAGGAAACAAAGGGGATCCGAATTGGAACGAAGGCGTCTGAACAGGAACAAAGGGATGACAGAAGCGGAGCGGTACTGAAGGTCATAAGGCAGAACCTGTGATACGTCCGAAAGGAGGTAAGAAGGGCGAGGCCCAGAGGGGCAGGAGGATGAGGAGAAGTGGGGATGATGTCATATCCCGGAATCCCGACCCCGCACACTCCCACCACATCACACCTTCCTAACAACTTCACCATCCCCTACACCATGCCTCCCCACTCCCCAAGTCACCTCCCCTCCTGGCTGTCTCAGCTCCGGTCTGGTTGCGGCACACCGAACCTTGGCTACTCCCATCCCGGAACCTCGGTCCCGAGTCGGAACATTCGGAGACCCCGGATTTGCTCCGATATCCTGACGGACCTCCGACATCCCGTGACATGCCCTTAAACCATTCCCTCGCCCACTTCATTTATTGGAGTCACCCAACATCCTTCGGACACGCAACTCCGCTTTCGGAGCTAACCGTATCCTACGGTGATCTCCTTCACGCTATCACTTATTAGTCATCTTCCATTCTTAGCACGACTACCTTCTTACTACCATTCAGTCGGCTAACCCCCCTTCCCCATTTGTCTTCCCCGTTCATTTTCCGGCCTCCAACTCCGCCCTCCTTGGCCCGACACCTCGGTTCCCCATTTTAGATATCGTTCGGAACCTTTCGGTACCTTTCGGTGTTTTCCCCGTTTTGTCATTTCGGGCTTTGACTAAAGTCCTCCCCATCCACTTTTATAAATACACGTAGATTAGAACCTGTAGTTCCTCAGTTCTAATCTCGACTAAAATGCCACCCAAAGTCCCTCTGAGTGATTCCTGTCTCTGTTCTACAAGACACCTCAGACATAAGAAATACAAGGACTAACAGAGACGTAACGGAGGCACAGCGCTCCCTCCGAGTCGCTGAGGCCGTGTCCTTCTTAGAGCCTCTTGTACCATCCAGCAGAACCGGGCTCCCTGAGAAGCTTCGGTTCATCACCGGAGCCCTCGGACCCCCCTCTAGTTGAGCCCCCGCCTGCATTCGGACTCACGCATTCACCCCTTCTTCCATAACCGACGGGTTTTTGACAGATGATGACTAACTGGCTAGAATGGGGAGAAGCAGCAGTCCAAATAGGGATGAGGGGAAAACACAAGAAATACATTACAAGCGGCGAAAGTGCTGAAGGTGATCCGTGGAGCTTATGGAGGCAGGGTTGAAAGTCCGAGGAATATTGGCAATGGTGTTTACGTAGTATGAGGTCACCAATGCAATGGACTAAGACTGAAGTGGAGTCAAAGTCCGAGGTAGGGACTATGATGGAGGCTCGGAGCAAAGGTATGAGCGGTGCCCGAGTACGAAGTACGGGACAGCAGTGGAAGGTCGTAACTTGGCAGGAGGTCAGCGGAAGAGTACCAGAGGGAAGAGAGAGGAGAAAGGGAAGAGGGAAGGAGTGGCGGAAAGGAGAATTGTCAGGTCCGACGGTGAGTATCGGAGCGGACAGGAGAAGCGTAGGAGGATGACAGAAGGGTGGAGGTGTTGTGAGGGAGGAGCGGAGGAGTAGGAGGAGTAGTAGTAGGAGGGTGGCGAGAGGGGCGGTGTTCAGTCCGAGGTGAGTATTGGAGCGGATGGAGATAGGGGAGGAGAGGGAAGGAGGAGTGGAGGTGGCATGGGAGGTAAGAGGAGGTGTGGTGCCAGGACTGAAGGTGAATATCGGAACGGACAGCGGTAGGGTAGGACTCTGGAGGTGGGGAAGGAGGAGGTCCGGAAGTCGGGTCGGGATCGGGTATGCACGGATATGACACTATCAATCAGTACTGCCGAGGCCCCATCCCCTTCTTAATTGTTGTAATATCCTTTCCGAATGCATCCCCCCCCTCCTGCTCGTGCTTTACTGTGAACGGAAGTAAGGGACAAGTAAGAAGTAAGAAGGAACCATGTGAAGATGGATCGGACAAGAGAATTAAAGGAGTCGCAGCTAGGGTCCCCAATGGGTCATAATAGGAGATACCGAAATCAGAACCTGGTGGTAGATTCTTTCAAGGTTATACTGATATTTGTGGGGAATCCACATAGGAGTCTGAAGAGGTATCAAGTCAAGAGATGCTGGACCGAGGCGGTGTGCCCAAGGTATCGGAAAGCTCAAGGAGATGTGGAGAAGAGAAATTGCCAGAGTTAGAACTCTCTACTGGCAAGGCTCCGAGGCTTAATGACGACTCTGCAGAGGGCTGGAGTGCTCCACAGAGTTTCTCAAACATGCAACAAAGTCCAACAAGCTTGAGGAGGAATCCGAAGATTCAAATGATGACAACCTGTGAGGTCTTAGGGTGGCTCAGCACACAAGGCCGTAAGTGATACAAGATAGTGTATTTTACGGTGGTGTGTAAGCGGTTCCCTGGAGGTTCCCGCTTGCCCACGTGACTATATGTATCTAGTTTACATGTGACTCGGGGTTCGGGGCTATTGCCCTGACACAACCAGAGGTCCGAAGACGATTCCAGAAAGTCTGAAGGAACGGTGTAAGAGTTCTCAAATACTTGGCACGAAAGTGGATGTATTGTGCTGCATTTGGTAACTTCTTACGGGAGGAATAATGTTGGGAGTATCCCAGGAGGGGTTCTGAGGACGTCCCTGGTAGAACCACAGGATGGAAACAGATCCAAGGTTCATAAGGACGGTGTGAAAACTCCTGAAAGGAACAACTCCTGAAGTTCAGAGATCCGAGGCACTGATAGTTGGTAGAGCAGAGTCCATATCCCCTTCTTAGGGATAGACGTCCCAGCGTCTACACAACTTAACAGGTAATTGACAGAACCTTCCGAGGAGGAAGTAGCGTAGTTGCGGAGCAGAGGAAGGATAACTTAGGCCAATGATAGAACATATAACCCAAGTGCTTCGGCGTGCGGAGTCACCGGAGGGTAGTGATAACTCCACAGCATTATGGGAGGTTAAACAGGGTGATCTGAGGTGTTGTGAGAGTAAGGGGTGGTGATGTGCAGGTTGGTTTTAGAACGAGTTGGAATATCAAAAGTCCTAGGTATCCCAAACATACCAAAATCGTGGTAGAACAGAGGAAAGAGGAAAAAAAACTCCCTGAAGATAGGAAGAAAAGTGGAGGGAATGGTTATCAATGACAGAGCATATCTGTAGTTGAAAGAAGAGCGGATGGTGGTAAGGAGGTGGATTGAGTATCCAGAGCATGTTCAAGAAATCACATGGCTCAACGGAGCAAAAGGAAGATCAAATATCCGAACACTAAAAGCACCTAACTGGAGGTTAACGAGTTCTTGAAGGTGTGGTGGTCGGAACAGGGATAATCTGGTGTTTGGAACACAGTACATAGGTCCATTACTCAACGGAGTCTCAGGATGAGTACAAAGCCATCAAACAAGAGACTGCGTCTGTAACGACAGGCGTAACAGAGGTTTGTCACAATAGTTAAAGGGTATCGAAGTGGGTCAAGTTGACTCTATAGAAGGAGGGGGCGATAGGCTATTGCCGCTGCACCCTCGGGATTTTCCGGGCTTGAAAAAAAGAGAAAAATCACACCTTTCTAACGGTACCAATTATTTGAAATTTGGTGTAGCCATTGAAAAGTTATAAGCGCGGACATTTCTGCACCCTGCACCCTTGACCTGAAGCCTTGATGTTTTCTCAGTCAGTTTTGAGAATTATGGGCGGCAATAGGCATTCCAGATAGCTGTGGGCGAGATCTACAAGATGAAAAAAAGAGGATGTGAATAGCTGCTCTGGGTAAGGAGATATGGGGAAAATAAAATTTGAAGGAAAAAAAGAATAAATAAATTGATAAGTGGACGAAAAAAATAGGGAAAAATGCGGGGTTTTTTGGAGTGGAATATGGTGAGAAGATAGAATGGGAAGATATTTTATTTGTAATTTTTTGGGGAAGTTTTTTTTCGAGGGTGCAGGAGGGTGCAGAGGGTGCAAGTGAGGGTGCAAGTGAAATTAAAAGTGAAATATCTTAGTGAAGAAAATAGATATAAATATGGGGTGTTTTTCAGAGTGATATATTTAGGAGAGAGAATGGAATGGAATTTTTAAATAATTTTTTTTGGAAAATAAATTTGGAGGGTGCAGGAGGGTGCAGTGAGGGTGCAAGTGAAACTAAAAGTGGAATAACTTTTGACTGGATGGATGAAAATTGAAATGGTTGATAGGGTTAGGAAGGTGTGATTTTAGTGAAAATTATAAAATCGAAAAAAGAGAAGTGGCTGTGCACTTTTTGCACAGCCACAGAGGAAAAATTTTGATAGGAAGAAAGTGGAAGGTGAGAAAGTTGGGAGAAGAGAGTAACAAAGGTTAGAACTGAAGTGGAGAAGACAACAACAATACAACAACACAACAACGCGACAATGCGACAACTAAACAACTAGACAAGGGAAGAAGCAAAAATGAAAAATTGTTGAACTAAAAAAAGTGAGAAGTTCAGTTTGAACTTGAACTTGAGAAGACAAGAATGCGACAACTAGAACAGGTGACAACACAACCACACAACAACACAAGGAAGGAAGAAGCAAAAATGGAAAACTAAGGAAGTAAAAAAAGTGAGAAGTGAAGTTTGAAGTGTGAGTTTGGAAGCTAAGAATGTGAACTAGACAACTAGACAAGGCAACAACACAACAACGCAACTAAAGAACTAGACAAGGCTGGTGACAAAAATGCGGAACTGTGGAAGTAAAAAAAGTGGAGACTTGAGTTTGAAGTCTCACTTGAGTGGAAGAAGGGGACAAGAAGGTGAGAAGACAACAAAGTGACAAGAGGAGAAGACAAGAAGGCAAGAAGGCAAGAACTAGACAACTAGACTCGGGAAGAAGGAACTAAAAAGAAGTGAGAAGTGAAGTTTGAAGTGTGACTTGAGAAGACAAGAAGGCTGGAACTAGAGAACTAGAGAAGGAAGCAAAAAAAGGTTTGGACTTGGGAACTGTAAAAGTTTGTCGGGGACCCGACAAGCCGACAACGCGAGAAGCTGAGAAGGGGGAAGTGGAAGTAGGGAAGGTGAAAAGTGTGGAAGTTTGTGGCAAAAGACAAATCGCGTGTTTTCGAAATCGAGTGATTTTTAGAAGTTAATGAGGATAGGGACAGAGCAAAAGGGAGAACCTTATCCCACTCTATAGAAGGAGGGGGCGATAGGCTATTGCCGCTGCACCCTCGGGATTTTCCGGGCTTGAAAAAAAGAGAAAAATCACACCTTTCTAACGGTACTAATCATTTGAAATCTGGTTCAGCCGTTGAAAAGTTATAAGCGTGGACATTTCTGCACCCTGCACCCTTGACCTGAAGCCTCCATGTTTTCTCGGTCAGTTTTGAGAATTATGGGCGGCAATAGGCATTCCAGATAGCTGTGGGCGAGATCTACAAGATGAAAAAAAGAGCATGTGAATAGCTGCTCTGGGTAAGGAGATATGGGAAAAATAAATTTTCGAGGAAAAAAATAGTTAATAAATTGATAAGTGGACGAAAAAAATAGGGAAAAATGCGGGGTGTTCTGGGGTGAAATATGGTAAGCAAATATAATGGGGAGATATTTTATTTGTAATTTTTTGGGGAAGTTTTTTTTCAAGGGTGCAGAAGGGTGCAGAGGGTGCAAGTGAGGGTGCAAGTGAAATTAAAAGTGAAATATCTTAGTGAAGAAAATAGATATAAATATGGGGTCTTTTTCAGTGTGATATATTTAGGAGAGAGAATGGAATGGGATTTTTAAATATTACTCTATAGAAGGAGGGGGCGATAGGCTATTGCCGCTGCACCCTCGGGATTTTCCGGGCTTGAAAAAAAGAGAAAAATCACACCTTTCTAACGGTACCAATCATTTGAAATTTGGTGCAGCCATTGAAAAGTTATAAGCGTGGACATTTCTGCACCCTGCACCCTTGACCTGAAGCCTCGATGTTTTCTCAGTCAGTTTTGAGAATTATGGGCGGCAATAGGCATTCCAGGTAGCTGTAGGCGAGATCTACAAGATGAAAAAAAGAGCATGTGAATAGCTGCTCTGGGTAAGGAGATATGGGAAAAATAAAATTTGAAGGAAAAAAAGAATAAATAAATTGATAAGTGGACGAAAGAAATAGGGAAAAATGCGGGGTTTTTTGGAATGGAATATGGTGAGGAGATAGAATGGGGAGATATTTTATCTGGAATTTTTTGGGGAAGTTTTTTTTTGAGGGTGCACTCGGGTGCAGAGGGTGCAAGTGAGGGTGCAACTGAAATAAAAAGTGAAATATCTGAGTGGAAAAAATAGATATAAATATGGGGTCTTTTTCAGAGTGATATATTTAGCAGAGAGAATGGAATGGAATTTTTAAATAATTTTTTTTGGAAAATAAATTTGGAGGGTGCAGGAGGGTGCAGTGAGGGTGCAAGTGAAACTAAAAGTGGAATAAGTTTTGACTGGATGGATGAAAATTGAAATGGTTGACAGGGTTAGGAAGGTGTGATTTTACTCTATAGAAGGAGGGGGCGATAGGCTATTGCCGCTGCACCCTCGGGATTTTCCGGGCTTGAAAAAAAGAGAAAAATCACACCTTTCTAACGGTACTAATCATTTGAAATCTGGTTCAGCCGTTGAAAAGTTATAAGCGTGGACATTTCTGCACCCTGCACCCTTGACCTGAAGCCTCCATGTTTTCTCGGTCAGTTTTGAGAATTATGGGCGGCAATAGGCATTCCAGATAGCTGTGGGCGAGATCTACAAGATGAAAAAAAGAGCATGTGAATAGCTGCTCTGGGTAAGGAGATATGGGAAAAATAAATTTTCGAGGAAAAAAATAGTTAATAAATTGATAAGTGGACGAAAAAAATAGGGAAAAATGCGGGGTGTTCTGGGGTGAAATATGGTAAGCAAATATAATGGGGAGATATTTTATTTGTAATTTTTTGGGGAAGTTTTTTTTCAAGGGTGCAGAAGGGTGCAGAGGGTGCAAGTGAGGGTGCAAGTGAAATTAAAAGTGAAATATCTTAGTGAAGAAAATAGATATAAATATGGGGTCTTTTTCAGTGTGATATATTTAGGAGAGAGAATGGAATGGGATTTTTAAATATTTTTTTTTGGAAAATAAATTTCGAGGGTGCAGGAGGGTGCAGTGAGGGTGCAAGTGAGATTAAAAGTGGAATAACTTTTGACTGGATGGATGAAAATTGAAATGGTTGACAGGGTTAGGAAGGTGTGATTTTTGTGAATTTTTGAAAAGCAAAAAAGACATGTGGCTGTGCACTTTTTGCACAGCCACATGGGAAATTTTTTGATAGGAAGAAAGTGGAAGGTGAGAAAGGAGAGCTGCAAAGGTTAGTAGAACTGAAGTTGAGAAACAGACACAACAAACAACAAGACAACAATGCTACAACTAGACAACTAGACAAGGGAAGAAGCAAAAATGCAAAAAGGTTGGGACAATCTATAGAAGAACAAAAGGCTTTTTCTGCTGCACCCTTGGGACTTTCCAGGCTTGAAAAAAAGAGAACAATTACACCTTTCTAATGGTACCAATCATTTGAAATTTGGGTGCTGACATTTCTGCACCCTGCACCCTTGACATGAAGCCTTGATGTTTTCTTGGTCAGTTTTGAGAATTATTGGTGGCAATAGGCATTCCAGATAGCTGTAGGCGAGATCGACAAGATAGAAAAAAGAGCATGTGAATAGCTGCTCTGGGTAAGGAGCTATGGGAAAAATGGGATTTGGGGGAAAAAAATAATAGATAATTTGATAAGTGGATGACAAAAATAGGGAAGAATGCAGGGTGTTCTGGAGTGGAATATGGTGAGGAGATAGAATGAGGAGATATTTTATTTGGAATTTTTTGGCAAAGTTTTTTTTTGAGGGTACAAGAGGGTGCAGAGGGTGCAAGTGAGGGTGCAAGTGAAATTAAAAGTGAAATATCTAAGTGAAAAAAATAGATATAAATATGGGGTCTGTTTTAGAGTGATATATTTAGCAGAGAGAATGGAATAGAATTTTTTAAATATTTCTTTTTGGAGAACAATCTTTGAGGGTGCAACAGGGTGCAAGTGAAATTAAAAATGAAATATCTCTGTGGAAAAAATACAAAAAAAAGTGGGAATTTCTGCCCTGGCCTATGATTAATTTGTGAAATGTGGTAGCATTTATTGTGAATTTTTTGGAAGGAAAAAAATCTTAGGGTGCAGAAGGTGCAGAGGACAGTGCAGAGGGTGCAGAAATGTAAAGTGTGATAACTTTTGACTGGATGGATGAAAATTGAAATGGTTGATAGTGTTGAAAAGGTGTGAATTTTGTGAAATTTTTAATAGAAAAAACTGATTGGTGGCTGTGCAGGCTAAACACAGCCACAGAGGATGTAGACAATGAGGCAACCTGAGAACTTGGGAGTGGAGTTGGCAACTACAACCAAGCACAAAGAACCTGACAAGGTGACAACCAGCAAACCACAACCTGCAACATGCAGAGGGTGCAGAAATGTAAAGTGTGATAACTTTCAAGGGATGGATGAAAATTGAAATGCTTGATAGGGTGAGAAAGCTGTGATTTTTGTAATTTTTTTTAGCAAAAGAAAATAAGTGGCTGTGCAGGAATGACACAGCCACTTCCCTGGAGACATACAAATTTGGTACAAAGTTGCAACCTGCCAACCAGACAACTGCAACTGGAGAACTGAGAAAAGGCTGAGGGGTTAAGTTGGGTGAGTAGGGTGAATCTATATAAAGTGGCACAGGGTGTAGATTGGCTCTTTAGCCTATCTATGCCCCATTGAAAATACAGCAACACTCCCTTTTTTTTTTTCTCAATTTCTAAAACATGCAACTAGTCTTTCAACAACCCAACCCAACCCAACCCCAACCCAACAGTTGCCATGCTGTTGCCTTGTTGCATTCTCCAGTTATCTAGTTCCCTAGTTATCTGTTATCCATTGTCATGTTGCCAAGATTGGTTAATGTTGTCCAGTTGTTTAGTTGCCCCACCAGTTTTCATTATCTAGATACCATTTTGCCCTGCTGCTAGGTTGTCTAGTTGAGTTGTCCAGTTGTCCAACTTGCTGTATGAAATTTTAATTTCTCCAACCTCAGTGGCTGTGTTTTCCTGGACAGCCACCTATATTTCTTCATTTCCTAAAAAAAATTCACAAAAATCACACCTTTCTAACCCTACCAACCCCTTCAAAAGTTACCAAGTACATTGTATATATAGATGGGGTCCAGAGTCAAAAGGAACAAGGGTAAGGGAACTAGAAGGGGGAACAACACCAAGGGTCAAGGGTTTGACTCAATGATGTTTCCCAAAGGAGGTATGAAGGGGATGGGAGTCAATGGCTAGCTGACTGAATAGAAAGAAGCAGCAGCCCAAATAGGAATGAGGGACAATAGCAGAATTGAATGGGACAATACAGTAAGAACTACAAAAGTCTGGAAAGTCCAAACTTGGAAGTGAAACTCCAGAATATTGGCAAAGGTGAATAAATTAGCTAACCAATACAATGGACATAAGCAGAGGTTGGGTCAAAGTCTGAGGTCAGAGCTAAGACTGGAATTCTGGAGCAGAGGTCTGGAGTTGGGAGCATAGATGTTGTGTACTCATCTGGAAGGTGCCATGGTTGAGGTCGGACCCAGAATGGTCTGGAGTTGGACCAAAGGTGGTGTTGGAGCTGGAGGTGGGATAAGGGTGACAAAAGGGAAATGGGGCTCTGGAGTTGGTTTCAGAGTTCTGGGCCCAGATGGAGGTCAGGATTGTATGGATATGACAGCACTTACATTTCTGCACCCTTGCACCCTGCAACCTAAATTTTTTCCCTCCAAAAACCACATTCCACACACTGAGCAAGTCCACAGCAAAAAGTCCTGCTTTTCTTTTCTATTTTCCTCATTCACTTACAGTCATTCACCCCCCAATGGTGCGGATTTTACTAATCTGGACCTCAGTGTAATGAAGTTCCATGAAAAAAATTGATAAATTTGAATAACATGAAGAACGTAAATATGAATCAGTGGCCAGCAATATTTTGAGTGGAGTCCTGTCATGAAGTGAGTACGGGAGTGAGTATGAAATGGGTGCTTTCACCCCTCAGTGGTATCCTGTGACAGAGTGTGACAGTGCGTTCGCACGCTCATGTTGGACCCCTGCTGACCCCATCAGCCACTTGTTCAGCACACCCTGGCACCTCCGGCATTGCAGGGGGCTTGTTCTGCTGGAGCTGTGGATAATTCTGAGCCATCCAACCCCTCATTCGGATTTCCGATGGCTTTGCTGGCACTCTTTGTTTGAGCGCAACTAAGCACGCTTTTTCCTCTCACCATTTCGCCACCTCTGCTTTTTGTGTCTCATTGAACTTTCTCCATCCCTCCTTGGCCTCCTCCTTCAGCTTCTCCAGCTCGGCCTCATCCAGCCTCCGTTGAGTGCGCTCAGCTTGATCCCTCAAAAAACCTTCATGTGTCACAACGCAGCCGAACGTTCCCTTGATACGTCCACCTTCCTCTTTCTCTTTTGACTTTTCCAATTCCTCCCATGCTAGAAGTTGTGTCTGTGATTTAGACACATACATTCCTCCCAATGCCAACTGGGCATTTGCTGCATCCACCACATTAACGGCTCTTTCGACCAGTGTCTTTGCCTTCCAAAACTTGTGTCACATTTCGTCGATCTCCTTCATCAATTCAGGGTGAGTCTTGTGCTCTGAGTTGTGATCATGTATCAGATCCCAATTGTTGAGGTGCCCATATGCGCGTTCGGGTAGTTTAAAGGTTGGACAAAGAGGTGAGGAAGATACGATAGAATTTGAGGATGAGGAGAATGACATGATATGTTCCAGGTCATCAACAGCACGCTTCTTTTCCCGAGAGTAGGAAGGAGGGAAGGTAGGAGTTTGACAACAAGTGTTGACTGTTGCAGCATCTGAGCCAGAAGGTTGCGGTGGTGTGCGGACATGTGTTGTCTGAGACACAGCAAACAATAAGGGATTAATGATCAGTCTGTCACACTCATTATTATCCACTTCGCTGTATGTTCCATCATGACCCCCTAGGTACATCTGAACATCCTGTGAGTCATCCATCGGTGAGGGGGTATCATTGCGCTGGTACACACGGGCCATCAGCTGACCATGAAAGTGCATAATGTGCTTAACAGGTGAGGTCACAGGGAGGGGAAGGTCTCCCCGGGTGGAATGTTCAATGCTTGGAGCAAGTTGTTCAGGGTGGATGACAGATGGATTAACAGGGTAGACACCAGTCACTTGGAAACTGGTGATAATGTGAGTTGAGTTCACGGCCTCCATCCATGCGTGGCCAAAGACCGATAAGAATGATGACTTGTTCAGTTTTTTGGGGTATTCTGCAAGTTGAATGCGTCCCGTTGTTTAGAGAAGCTCCACTTCAAGAGGGAGAATATGACGACATCGAGTCCTTGAAGGACATGAGTTGTGTGTGCAGGATAACATATAACGACGATATTGTGGTTGCATGCATAGGTTATAAAGTCAAGGCTGTAGTGCGAGTTATGTCCATCCACTATGAGAAGACAGGGGTGGCCAGCGGCTTTTCCCTGTGTGGCAGCATTAAGAGTTTGAAGCCAATCAAGGCCAATCTCATTGTCTGTCCACCCTTTCTCTGAAACAGTGACCCTAGAAAGTGGAAGTATAAGCATGTGCAGTGATATTATGGATAAGAAACTTGCACAGCCTCCAAAGGATTGTCCTTCAACCACTTGGAGTTCACATTCTGCCCTTTAAAGATGACGACTGGAGGCACTGAAGTGCCATCTGCACAGACAGTTACAATCATGCTCACATTCTCGCGGTTCCCATCACGTTGAATGTGTGCTATTTTTGTCATCTTGCATGCAATGACTTTGGCCTTTTGTCCTGTCCCAAATGGGAAGCCACTTTCATCCATTGTGTAGATATCCTCACGTCTAAATTTGAAATGGTCATACTGAGCTTGTAACAGCTGGAACCAGTGTCGCACAGCTGCAGGATTTACAGCACCACCCCGAATACTTTCAAGGTTGGTACTCCACTTGGCATCAAGTCGGTTTTTGTTGCGTACTAGAAAGCCATCAACCCAATTTTTACCCAGCCCAGTAAGGTTTGGGTGGCGTATCTGGGCAACTTCCAAGGCATATTCCTTCACACGATCACAGGTAGCAGGGAATCCACGGTCAGACATAAGGAGAAGGAATTCCACCAGGGTGTCACTCTCAATCTGATTCAGCCATGACCGGTTTATTGAGGCCTCAAGCCGACTTTTCCCACCACTCAGCCTCCGCATGAATGTAGAATAGGAAACATCACAATTAGAAGCATGTTCCCTGGTGCTGGGAGCTTTTTTGTGATTTTGTGTTGCATCCAGGACCTGAGATCTATATGAAATGACGGTGTTCCGCATGTGCAGCTCTGCTGCCTCAGCTGCAAGCTGCCTACAGCGCTCCAAAGAGTTGGCATGCCGGACCATTTGTCAAAAGAAGCAAGCAAAGCAATATTGGGGTTGGGGGATGTGGGAATGGTGATTTAATTTACAGATTGTTCAGGTAATGGATGAAAACATGCTTCCAACTTAGGTTCCGTGTCTCATCAAAACAAACAAATACTGGCACATGTAACACTGGCCTTTTGCTCACTAGCTGTCTGGCTAGCTATTGGTAAGATGAAGAGAGCAATGAAACTGGAGTGGTTAAGTTGCAAGCATGGCGACTCCTCACACCCAAGTTCCCTATGTTTCCTTGATTTTTTCCTTTACTTCTTGCCTGCTTGACATTAAACTCGATACATAAGTAGTCCTAGCAACAACTTATATACATGCCAAATCTCATCACAAAGGGTGGGGGGGCTCGGAAGTTATGTGGTGATTTATCATTGGGGGGTGTGTCTCATTGAGGGGTGAATGACTGTATTCCATTATTAATTTCACTTGCACCCTCCTGCACCCTCAAAAAATTTTTTTCAAAGAATTATTTAAAAAATACTTTTCCATTTTCTATTCTATTCATATGCCACTGAAAAAGACCGACTATTTATATCTATTTTTTTCCCAGAGATATTTTATTTTTAGTTTCACTTGCACCCACCCCTCCCTAAAAAAAACTCAATTAAAGTTTCTCAATAAACTATTTCCCCACTCTATGCTAAACATATCCCACTCCAAAAAAACCCACATTTCTACCTATTTTTTTCATTCACTTATTCAATTTATAGCTATACCAATGTAATAACTAAGCAAAGTAGTCCAATGCTATTATGGCATTCCTTTGAAGTTTGAAGAGTTCAAATGTAGCAATCATTGAACTATAAAGCAATAAATATAAACAGACAATATGTCAAGCATGCCAAAATTCAAGCAAAAAGAATGGGATTGAAGGTACATTTGAAACTTGTCTTTCCAAGAATGTGCCCTGTTGCTTTGGTCCAATCAACTTTATCATTAGGGGGTAATTGTTTGTATTTAGTCTCCCAAATACTGTGGGACAAACTTCCCTGAATGCCTTCAATCTCATGCTATACATGTAGATACACAAGACTTGGGGTCTTTACCAATCTGAGTATGAACACTGAGGGACAGAAAAGAGTACTAACACAAATAGCTAGAAATCTGAAATACCATAGCATGGCAATTACAGCCCCTCTGATGATGGAGAATGATGGAGAGTGGTGGTGCTTGGCTCAAACATGGTTCAATCATTTAATTACCCAATACAATACCATTATTCAGTTAATTCTAGTACAGTTTACAACCTAAGGATAATATGTTTTGAGGGTGAGGATGGTGTGGCCAGTATTGAGACAAATGTTGCTTATTGTAAGTGTCACCAGGCTCTAACCTGGTTTGCCAACCCCCACTTAAGAGCAACCTCACAAATGCCCAAACATAAATAGGAAAATACCTTTGCATGAAGATCCCAGATGTGGTTCCTCATTGAGTCTGAAAAAAGTCCAGCCAGTAAACAAAATAGCAAAGCAACTCACTGGGCATTCACCATCGACTCCTCCCACTCGATGGACACCCAACACAAACAATGACAGTGGATCTCCAAGGCTGAAAACACTGTGTGGTACCATGCACAAATTGCTACCAGGGAGTGCCACAACCCCTGCAACACCTGTAAAGGCAAGGACCACTCAACCTACCAATGCCCACTTACCAAAACCTACCATTCTGGACCAAAATCTACCCCCAAAAAACCCGATTGGAATGAGTACTGTCAGTAACAACCCCACAGTGGATGGGGATCACTACACAATGCAAAAAATGCAATGCCACATGCTGGTCCAAGCCACAACAAAAGAAGATCTGAGAGGCAACACCTACCCCAGAGGAAAGGGAGCTCACCAACCCCAACCCCAAGCCTAAAAACCTCTGTCTTAACTAGTGCCCAAATCAAATCCCCTTACATGCTCAGAGGGCTGTAAGTGTTACCCTAAGGACACAGTCAAGTCCCTAAAACTGACAGCCTTACAACCTGACCCAAAGTCATCACTGGTTCCACAACCCCAATCTAACCATGTGGGAAGTGTGGTACTGCTGGAACCAGCCAGTAGTGCCAGCCAGCATACCAGCCTAAAACAGCTAGGCCCTCCCCCACTCAAGCCAGGGGATGGGGATGTTGTTAGAATGCGGGGATTCGGACGACTCTGGAATGGAATCGGAGACTTAGCATGGAAGGACCTCGGCCTCAGCGACTCAGGCGGAGCGCTGTGCCATTGCTGGTTGTCCTGGGGGTCCCTAATTTCGGATCTAGCAGAGGGAAAGTCTCTTGGGGGGGAATTCCAGTCGATTTCGGACTGAGGTTACAAGTTACTAGGTACATTGTATATAAGGAGGGGTCCGGAATCAAAAGGAACAAGGGTAGGACAAAAGGAGACAAAGGGAGATGGAAAGGGGAACAACACCGAGGGTCAAGTGTTTGACTCAATGGTGTTTCCCAAAGGAGGAATGAAGGGCCAAGGCCCCAGAAGGAAGGAAGGAGGATGGGAGTCGGGAATGGCTAGCTGACTGAATAGAAAGGAAGCAGCAGCCCAAATAGGAATGAGGGAGAATAGCGGAATTGAAATGGACAATGCAATAGTTGCAAGGTCCGGAGTAAGTCCGGAAAGTCCGAACTCGGAGGTTAAACTCCGGAATATTGGCAAAGGTAATTAAATGGAATGAGCTAACCAATACAATGGGTATAAGTGGAGGTGGGGTCAAAGTCCGAGGTCGGAACTAAGACCGGAGGTTCCGGAGTTGGGGGCATAGGTTTTGCGTACTCGTCTGGAAGGTGTCGAGGTTGGGGTCGGACCCGGAATGTTCCGGAGTCGGACCGAAGGTGGTGTCTGAGCCGGAGGTGGGATAACCTCTTGGGAGTCGGCAAGGAGAAGGTGACGGAAGGGAAGTAGGGCTCCGGAAGTCGGAGTTCGGAGTTCCGGGAGCCCGGAGCGGAGGTCAGGATTGTATGGATATGACAGATGTTGCAAATGCAATCCTGCCCACCCCTGTGCCTTGTCCATGGCATGGTTGAGTAAAATGCAAGCCATGGAAGATCCTGCTTGCACTGAGCTGACCAAACACACTACAATAAACCTGAACCATACACCCCTAAGACTCAGAGGTGGGAACAACAACCCCCCTAGGGTTGGCTGCATTAAGCTAAGTGCCCTAAACTTGAAGGGAGCAAACAGTCAACAAACACAAAATGAAAAAAGAGAAAATAGTGATAATGTACACTTCTGAAACACACACAGACCCCACTCTGGAAAGTGCCCTCAAGCACATACCTTCCACCTCCAACACTCCTATGACCCAAACCATACAAGAGTATCGATAAAATGCATAAACCTTGTCCCTGGATGTGCAACCTCAGCAACCAATAAAGAAAAATCCCAGTCAGAACCCAAGAATACAGGGACAAACACCCAACTCCTAAATTGTAACAACCCTAAAAGAGTCAATGACTTGATTCAAATCATAAAAGATGGTGAAACAACATGATACCTCTGCACCCAAAAACTTGAACCATTGCCAAACATCATAGCAAAATAAAAAAAACCAGCCAAATACCTGGAAAAAATCCTACCCTACCCTCAAACAAAGAAGTAATAATCCAAATGGTGATAGGCAGAATGACCCAATTCCATACCATTGCTCAAGGCAAGCCAAAACAAACAAATCAAAAATGAACTAAACAAAATCTCATGAGAATCTATGGGACTCAGAAGCCCCCCCCCATGATAAACTCAGACATTATGAGCAATCCCATTGAAGAAGGTGGTAGAAACATACTCAACTTAACCCAATGCAACAAAGC